GAAAGTCCACATGGAACCTCACCTGTTGCTGAGGTGAGGCCAGAACCAAGGAGCGATCCAAGTTCTGTTATCCAGAGTGTCATCGCTGTGAAGCATACAGACTTTGTGGCACCACCACCAACGGGCAAGAAACAAAGGTGTCGTGATTATGATGGTAAGTGAATGTCATGTCATTTTTTCTTCTTCTTTGTGTTCCATGTGTGTGAATATTCTTTATTTTTTATTATTTTATTTATTTTTATTTAGATTTTTTTTTGTTGTTGTTGTTAGATAATGATAATAGACACAGAATGTGCACTAAAAATAAAGTTTGATTTGATTCTGAACTAATTTTACATATTTATTATCACCAGTTGGCATACCTTTTCCTGAAGCAATTGTATTTTGTAGAATGGATTTATAAAATGTACATATATCTAAGATCTGTGTGTGTGCGCATGTGTGTGTGTTTGTGCTTGCGTGCACATATGAACACTAAACCCCATTGGATTCAGGTGCTTCACGTCTCGTATGTTGACCAAATCAAAAAGCTTCTTGAGTGGTGACTCTGCTGGGCTTGTTGCGTAAGCCTGGATGACTCAAACGCTCATGCACAGTATCAAAACTCCTTGACTGCTCTTGGATATGCTTTTTGCTCTTATTCTGTATACATATTTATTGCGGTAATTTCTGATGTCTGTGTTTGTCATTTATTATGCTATATCAAGATGGTTATAGAGTTCTCATTGAACAGACTCCATATTATCTCTCTAGGTAACCCACAAATCTCTCTCTCTCTCTCACTCATTCACTCTCTCACTTTTACTCTCCCTAAGTATTCAGTTTTCCATCACAATACCATGCTGTGCCAAGCAAGGTTGTCAGGAATGGGTTCTCCTTCCTAAATGCTCACTAAGTCTAATCTCCTCCAAGAACTTTTTGTAATCATGGTGAGATACCCCTTCACCCACTATGTAACCCCTTGAATCCGGTTGCTTCACAGTAATCACATGGATCAAAGTGTGGGTATTACATAAGCAGCTGCACGTAGGCTGGGCACTTGTGAAAAAAAGACTCGTGTGCATTAACAAGCCTCTATGCCTCTCCTTATTTATAAACAAGTTATTTTGCATATGTATTTTTATTTTTTTATTTTTTTCCATTTTCCAATGTCCATATTTGTCGTTTGATTTGCTTTATGGAGATGTCGATAGACTGTTTACCTTACAGATTCCAAATCATCTTGCTGTGTAGTAAATAACTCAGTACAAGAAAAAAAAATTGTCATTTTTTTTTATTTATTTATTTGTTATTATTTATTTATTTTATTTATTTTCATTTTTCTGTAATACAAACTGCAGTGCCGGATAAAATACTGAGCATGGGAACGGCATCTTCCCTGGAGCCAGCACTCTTCAGACATGGCTCACGGACATTACATTAACCACACATTTATCAACGTGAATTATGCAAAATCCCCTTTCTAAATGCCAAATGAGTCTAATCACCCTCCAAGAGGTTCGCACACTTACGGTGAGTCTTTTCCATCACCTGGCCTTCACTCATGACGGCAAGTTCGTGTCACTTGGCCCGCAGCCATTTTTTTCCCATGACCGCATGTTCAGGTCACCCACCCCTCATGCCAAATCTATTCTTGATGTAATGGCTACGTTACTTGGATCGAAGGGGTTAACAACACTTTCCCATCACCGTGGCCCCTAACCAGATTTTTCCATGATAACATTTCCATCACCTGGCACTCGACCAAATTGTTTTAGAATGTGACGTCATTGTCACCTGGATCCAATGGGTTTATCAGATAGACCCTGGTTGTCATAAAACTACTACTACTACTTCTTCTTCTTTTTTTTTCAAACTGTTTGATAGATGAGGGAAGAATGCGAACCTCTAGATTAGCTAATAAGAATTATGTAAAAGTTTTTTATTTTTATTAGATACTCTCAATCTAAGTTGCAATAAAGCCACAGCAACAATAAATGGATGTTGTCATCTTGTAGTACCCAGTTGTAAGATCAAATAGTAATATTAAAGAGATTGCTTGAAACTTAATCAAAAAAACTTTATTGTACAAGGTACATACAAGACTCACATAGCACGTTAAACCCAAAAATTACTTTCTCCGAGTATACTGACAGCTGTTTAGGGTATGGAACACTTCGCTGTCATAAACAAAAGTCTGGTATTTATAACAATATTATGTAAATTATATAAATGATTATGGATATAGGTATATCTTATCTTTTTGTGCACTGATTGGCTAAATGTGATGATGTCATTAGCACCACCCCTTTTTTGCCCCATTCGGTCTGTGCAGTTTTGTATGGCAAGTTTTGCTTCATTATTTTTGAAAGATGCCAACTAGGATTTTCTCAAAGACAGAGTGGTGCCACTTATTTTTTGATATCCCCATGAGAGTGGTAAGAAAATAATCAGAACCTCTCCACCCGCATAAAAAGAAAAAAAAAAAAAATTTTAGTGAAGGTGAGGAAGCGGGGCTTAGATTGTTTTTCTCAAAGACAGAGTTGCACTTTTCAAGTACCTTTACATTTCATTTCCTCTCTTTGTTTTTTCTTTTTCCCTCTTGCTTTTGTTCAAGATCTATTCTCATGGGCTGACAAGATGACATTTTTCATTTATTCCCTCTTTTTGCTTTTTCTCTGTTCCCTTCTCTGTTCCTTTTTTCATCCTTTCTGTCTCCTCTCTCTCTCCTCTCTCTCTCTCTTCTCTTCTTCTCTCTCTCTCTCTCTTCTCTCTCTCTCTCTCTTCTCTCTCTCTCTCTCTCTCTCTCTCTCTCTCTCTCTCTCTCTCTCTCTCCTCTCTCCTCTCTCTCTCTCTCTCTCTCTCTCTCTCTCTCTCTCTCTCTCTCTCTCTCTCTCTTCCTCTCTCTCCTTCCTCTCCCACTCCTCTCCCCTCTCTCTATCCCTCTCTCCCTCTTTCCCTCTTTACCTCTCTCCCATTCCTACTTTCCTTCTTCCCCTCTCACTCCACTCCTTTTCCCTTTCTCTTCACATCCCCCCTCTCTCTTTTCGTTTTTCAATTCTCCTATATCCTTCAGCCCCTTTGCACTCTCCATCTTCATAAAGCTTTTATAGTTAAAATTCCAAAATTACAGGATGAGTTGATTGTTTAAGCACTGATGTTTTGAATTTTACTAATTGTTGTTATTAAATGGAACTATTTGTGTGTCAATGACTTTTTTCATTATTTTTAGTTATTCTTAAGGTTCAAAACACTTCTTTTATTTGCATTGAATCTTGCCTCTTAAATAATTTACAAAGGTTCTCTAACTAACAGCATAGAAGTTACGGTGCACCTTCTTAACTTCCAGCACCACTTCTTTCACTTGCTTAGCTTGCGTCCTTTGATGGTAAGCTATTAATTCATGACAACTTTTTGAATACAGAGAAAGGTTATTGTATGCGTGGTGACATGTGTCCCTTCGACCATGGCTCAGACCCAGTGGTGCTCGAGGGTATTGGGGGAGTGCTGGACTTTCCTCCACCTCCAGTGCCAGGTGCCCAAGGGTACACCCCGGCACCAGCTCCACCACAGGGGGTGCCTAGACCTAGGCATCCTCCCCCAAGACATCCACAGTATGGTAAGACAATTGGTTAGTGACGGTTTGTATTGTACTAATTGAATGAAAAAGAATAGCAGTAGAAGCAGTATTAGTACTGGTAGTAGTAGTAGTAGTGGTAGTACTAGTTCAAATATTCATTAACATCTAAAACAAAATCAGTGTAAACTTATAGGGATATTAACCAGGTGCCTTTTGGCTTTGAGTGCTGACTCTCCAGGACGTGTGGCTTGTAGTCCCATCCCACACAAATGTGTGTGTAGTATCAAGACTCCTTGCTTCCTGTATGCAATGCTATAATCTCTTCTTCTGTGGATGAGCTGTTATTGTTTTGCCATTTTCTCATTTTTATATCCAATATTTTTTATGCTTTATCAAGATACTAATAGTTTTCATTGAGCAGATTCTGTATTATCTTGCCACTTACTTTAAATTCTGTGTAATAACAATAACAATAACAGTATGTAACATTGCAGTATTTGTATTTATTTTTTAAATAGTATTAAATTTTCCGTAACACCCCAACGGAGCTGATAACATTGGGAAGGAATAGGTCACAGTCATGGCTCAACAATGGTACGCTTTACCATTGTTTAAGGGAATAGCAGCTTCATAAAGACCTAGTAACTCATTCTCCCTCCAAAATCTTCATGCACTCTTGGCAAGATATTCCTGTCACCTGCCACTTAGCAGCAATATCGTATGGCAAGTTCCTCCTGTCACCCTGGCCCCATCTAAAGTTTTCCTTGATGAGATATGCTCATCAGCTGCCCCTTGGCCATATTTTTCATGATGAGACATCAATGTCACCCATTTGTCATTTGGTTAATATCATGATTATAGATATTGATACAGATACATCTATTGTCATAGTATTAGATGTAGTAACTTTGATGCTATCAGTAGCAGTAGTTGTATTAGTGGTAGAGCTGCATATGTCTTCTTCTGAGAACTTTGTGAATTTTGACTGAATATGTTGAAATTATTGAAATCCCTAGAATTTTTAATAGAGAGACAAAGTGGTGTCATTTTTGAAAAGTAGATTTATGACACCTGGACCAATGTGTTGATTTGACTTAGTCACAGGTGTCTGTCTATAGTTTGGAAAGTGGTTGCTGAATTTATATAATCATGTGATAGGTTTGTGAATCAGGAATGTCAAAACTGTAAAAGATCATGAGGAAGGTATAACTGTACTTGTTTTTGATAAAGATATAACAGTAATATAATCATGATCGGAGTCTTAAAGCTTTCTGTACCCATCAATTATCATGCATCAGGCAGAGGTAACTTGTTTAGTATTTATGTTGAAAAGGTATGAATTGCAAGTGAATATTTCCGCAGTACAAAATATTGATTCTCATTCATACTTTTTCTACATTTTTAAGAATGAACTGAACATTTTTTAGTGTATGTGGAAGTAGACTGGAGAAGATTGTTATTAAGTAAAGGAAAGAGATTGCTCAGTACTAAGCAGTACATTCATATTTTTGTAAACCAAGGTGTTTGAGAAAAGATGTTCTATTTTACCAGGTGAGTATACCCCCCGTGACCCAAGCCTGTGGGGTGGCCAGGTCAACAACAGTACAGGACCTTACTACGGAGCCAGTGGTCAGGGAAGAGGGACAAGCGGCGGGGGGCCTCGTTTCTCGGCACCTCCACCACCTCTTCCCGGTGGCACATCTAGGGAACTCATCAGTGTGCCTGTCAATAATGAGGCATCCATGGTGGTGAGTTCTCTTATTCTTTCTCTCTCTATCTCTCTCACTCTTTTCTCTCTCTCTCTCTCTCTCTCTCTCTCTCTCTCTCTTCTTCTCTCTCTCTCTCTCTCTCTCTCTCTCTCTCTCTTCTCTCTCTCCTCTCTCTCTCTCTCTCTCTCTCTCTCTCTCTCTCTCTCTCTCTCCTCTCTCTCTCTCTCTCTCTCTTCTCTCTTCTCTCTCTTCTCTCTCTTCTCCTCTCTCTCTCTCTCTTCTCTCTCTCTCTCTCTCTCTCTCTCTCCTCTCTCTCTCTCTCTCTCTCTCTCTCTCTCTCTCTCTCTCTCTCTCTCTCTCTCTCTCTCTCTCTCTCTCCCTCCCTCCCTCTCTCTCCCTCCTCCGCCTCTCTCTCCTCCCTCCTCCCTCCCTCTCCCTCCCTCCCTCCCTCCCTCCCTACCTCCCTCCCTCTATCTTCCCTTTCTTTCTCCCTGTCTCTCTCTATAGATCTGTCCATCTCCCATCCCCTCTAATAGGTGATAATAAAAGCTATTATTGTTCTTTTTTAGATGATGAATGCTCTTGCAAATGCATTTGAATACTTACATTTAATTTCCATTTTTGCAGTCAAGTGGGGGAGTAAGACCGTCTCTAGCCAAGCGCTTGGGCCCAGCAGTTCCTCCAGCAAACAACGTCATGCCCATGGCCTCAAAGCCAGGGCGTCCTGACCTTGACAATTGTACCCTCGAGCTGAAAAAAATACCTCCAGGATTGAACACCATTTCTCACCTGAATGACCATTTTGCAAAGTTTGGCACAATTGTTAATATTCAGGTACGTATGATTAGGGTACTGGTATTTCATTTTGATGATTTTTTCCCATATACGGAATAGATATGTTCTAGTGGCATTTCCTACTCCTATCTAGAGTCCGTTACATAGGATATATTTCTTTTTTGACAGGTTCAAAATGAAGGTAATCCAGAGTCAGCGCTGGTCACATTTGCAAGCCATTCAGAAGCAAACGCAGCCTACCGCAGCACAGAGGCAGTGCTCAACAATAGGTTTATTAAGCTATTTTGGCACAACCCACAGGTAAGTGTGAAATTCAAAGCAGGGATTTCATCTGTATATCCTTCATAGTATTGAGTTTGTTAATGAGTTTCTTTGGTGATTGTGTGAATATATTCAAAGACATTCAGATAGGAGAACATTTGGTGTGACTATGGCAGTTGTGTGTCCATGTGTGTGAGTTTCCCTGTGCGTGTGTACCCTCAGAATAAACCAGATCGTCCTGGAAGTTACCCGTCCCACACTGTCAGACCTGTGCATGACAGACTGGGCGTCAGACACCCTAACAAAACCCTCAACAAGATGGTGGTGGAACACACAAGTGAGGACAAAAATGAAAAGGTAAATTTACCAACTTCTGGCTTTCCTGTGCTTGCTGTTTGTCCAGGTGGAGTTATTATTTTCCATTTGTGTAACAGACTGTTTACAGTTCAGTCAGATTTGTTTTTGGCTGTTTTTTGTGAGGTTAGTTATAAAACCAGATATGCATTGGGATTTGAATTGGGGAAATTAGATTTAGAATTACGACATGTGATTTGTTAGAATGTAGATATATTGTGTGCAGCTGCATTATTTCAAACTAGATAGTATTGGGGTATAGATGACTTTCAGAATCATTATACACTAATGATTGATTAGGTTCACAAATGTTAAGTAACGGTGTACTTTAAACATAATCCTCTTTATGTCAGGTGATGATCTCTCGAGGCAGCTTAGTCAAGACTGTTTACAACACTCATGCCCTCCATTCTGCTGCTGCTGCTACTGCTGTTGCCTCTTCAACTGCAGCTGGCCCAACAACTGGAGTTGTTACTCCCACCTCCCCTGTCAGTGGCCCTCCCTCTTTACCTGCCACAGCACCTGACTCGACGCAAACTGCTGCCGACAGTAAAAGACAAGAGATTGATGCAATCCTAAAGCAGAGAGAATTATTAGCTGCAGAGGTAAAATGTTTTTCAGTGCTCTCATCTCATATCAGTTTAGGAAGAGATCCTGTAGAGTTGTGGTCATCGCTACAGTTGAAATGTGGATTCTTCTTAAAAGATTGTGATCCAGGAGTAAATGTCAAGAAAGTAATTGAATGGCAAATTTACAGGTGCTAGTACTCTGTAGCCTTTGCTTTTGCTCTTGCTTTTGCTTCCTTCACTTTTCACTGACAATTACAAATGTGGATTAGAGTTATAAAAGTTGAGAACACTCCTATCAAGAGGCACAAGTGGCCCTGTAGATAGATATTACATAGATGTTCAATATTATATTGAACTCATGATTACGTTACTAATTTCCATCTAATGTTATTCGGGGAGTATTAATGTGATTGATAAACTTTTCAGGAGTTCATGAATACATAGTTATTGTCAAAAGCTAAAGAATAATCTTCGTTAGTCGAATTATAATTCTCCAGTGTGTCACTTTTATCCCCTATAAGGGCAATGTACGAAATGGTCTGTAATTCATTGTTGTTGATTCACTGTGATTGCAAGGTACATCAGCAGACTGACCTCTTATTCCTTCCCTTGGATACCAGGTTGCTGCTAAACAGAAGGTGGAAAAGCAGAAGGCAGAAGCTTTAAAGCTAAAGTCAGAGGTTGAGCAGAGGAAAAGAATGCTGCTGGACAAACAGATGCAGCAGCTCAAGGTAAGATTTTTTATGGCTTTTAAAGACCCTGGGCATGGTTAGTATTGTTATGATTGATAGTTTGCATTTTTTTTTTTTTTTTTTCCTTTCTTTTTTCTTTTTTTCTTTTCAATATGGGGTGTTTTCCTTTTCTTTTTTTTGTTTTTGGTGTTAGATATTACATGATTATTAATATTTTAGTGATAATAATCATTTTTAGCCAATTTTGATAAAGGAGAATGCACTTGTGTGACCAATCTTATCAACTTACGTCTGGCCATACTTCATAGTTGATTTTTAGTTTGTCACAGTTATGAATGCAAATTTTCAGAGCAAATAAAGAGTAGATGTTTCAAATAAATAATCGCTTTTCAAAATTTGAATGTTAGAATGAAAATGGTAGCTTGCTCACAAATGAAGAATTAACAAATGATTACAGAAATTCTATAGAATGTCTCTTACAACATTTATCAGGATATGAACACTTTATAGAATAGGTAACATGCATATTGATATAGTTACAGTTCAAATTTGCAGACTATGTTTTAAGAATAATTTAGGTTATGTGTGTGTTTTTTTGAGTTAGCAAATTCAAAAACGCGGTCAGGTTTCGGGTCCTATCTCTTCAACCATTGGGGTTCACTTACTCTTGCCAATCTCCAAATGTACTGCTGAGTTGCCGCTGATATTGAATGTTGATATTGGTATGGTGATGGAGATAATTACCACATGTAGCTAATGAAAAATCGAAGTAAATGACGAAGTATGTCAGACAAGCCAGCTCTGTTTTGGATATTGCAGTGTGTTGGTACTTTGTCAGGGATGCTAGACCTGGAGTGCGAGGATGAACAGACATTTCGCATTGGGAAATTTATTACTTTGCCATTTATAGAATTGTAGGTATATATGTTTTAAAACCATCATTACCATGGCCATTATTGGATGCTTTTGGATATGAAAAGAAAGAAAGATTACCTTTGATTACAAAAAAAAAAAAAAAAAAAAATCATTGCTAGCTTCCATGAAATTGTAAATTTACTTTTAATTTATTCTGTCTTCTTGAAACAGGTACTTGTAACAAAATTTGACAAAAACAAAGCCACCATGAAAGCAGAAGAGAAAAAATTACTCCTAGAAACTATCAAATCCTTGCAAGCAGCCATTGACACAACAAGATCACAACTCGTAGCAGGGGAGACGCCCAAAAGCAAAGTCCAAGTAGACAGAGAAATACTTGACACTGAACTTGAGCTGTACACTGTCCAAGCAGAAGGCGGAGACATTTCCAAACTCCGTGCACGACTCAACCAGCTGCGAGCACAGCAACAGGCAGCAGGATACCCTGCCTCAAGATCTGCAAGACATGCTCCATATAGCACGGCAAGGTCAGTAGTGAAATGGTCTCCTTATTTCACATGTTGATTTGGTATACATTTTCTAAAACATTTTTTGAATAGTTCTTGATCTGAAAGGATTTTGAATTAAATTTGACCTACAGGGGAGGCCATTATGGTCGAGGGAGAGGAGTAACAAGCTTGGCCCGAGGAGGTTTAAGAGGAAGGGGCAGGGGCAGAGGGTACGGCGGGCACTCATTTTCATCCGTTGATCGAAGAACCACCAAGATCAATGCCTCTGGATTTGAACGTGAAGATAAGGAGGAAGTGTTGGCTCACTTTTCGGTATGTATGTCTTTTTGTGTATTTAGTGGACTGAATTTAAGGTGGAATAGTTCTTGAATGATTAGACTGTGTTGTTGAATAAAGGTATAATGAAGAGTGTGGTCATGAAAATGATATGTTAAAATGACAAGAAAACTATCTTGAGAATTGAAAGAACTTTTTCTTGACCCCAAACAGACCCTAGGCACTGTCTCCAATTACATCTGGGATGATCAGACTCCAGCTGTAACAATTCATTACTCTTCACGTCGAGAGGCAGAAAAGGCAATGTCAGAGGGGAGAACCCTTGGCGATCGGCTCCTGACCCTCACCTGGGCCTTTGATTCCCCCCTGCCTGTCTCCTCACAGGCTGCGGGAGGAGTGG